AGAAGCTAGCAACGTTGAACAGGAGAAGCTAGCGATAGCGACGTTAGTTTTCGGCTCAACGTAAACCCCGATCGATGCTATTCATATCAGCGATGAGTAATAATGTCAGTCAGACAAATTGTTCTGGAAGTACATTTCAATAGGTTGGCAGCGCTGCTTTGTTGACGAATAAACATGACACGTCCTCTTGGAAAACTGTGCCACTAGCCCATAGGCAGTGAACTGCTTTGTAGATTATATGCGTCATAATTTCATGCCAATTATTTTAGTTCCATGTATTAAACTTATCTTTTAGAGTAACGAGACTGGGGGAAGCTATGGAATGGAACTGGAGGGCCTGAAAAGATGCAGTTCGGAGTTGGAACGCTTCAATGTAAAAGTTGTCGTCACTGACAGGCATCGCCAGGTGGGGAAATGGATCAGGGAGAATTGGACCCAAGTCATCTTTTGATTATGATTGTTGGCACATTGTTAAAGGTTAGTGTATTTCAATATTTATAAATACGCTAGTTTTGGGATTATGTCTTATATACCATGCACGTCACTTCAAGTTTTCATATCATATTAAATATACAGGTATGTGCAAGAAACTGGACTCCTTGGCCAAAAAGAAGAGCCTGTCGATCCTGAAGGATTGGGTACAAAGTTTGAAGTGCCATTTGTACTGGTGTGCACTTTCCTCCCAGACACCGGAGGAAAAGAAGCAGAAGTGGCTGCCATGTGTGGACCACCTGCAGAACGTGCACGATAGTTGTTTACATCCTCCAATTACTCGAGAAAAAGTGTGGCTATTACCAGGTATTTTATTTTATTTTTTTAGATGTTGCCTGCTAGTTAAACCCCCAAAAAAATAGAAATATTGTCATACCTTGTAAATTCATTTAAAGGTACTGAAGTCAATGTCGCAGTGGTGGAACTCCTGACAAAGACCATGTTTGTCAACGATGTCATGAAGATGTCTCACCTCGGACAGACCAGTGGCGTGGAAGCTTTTCACAGTGTGGTGAATCACTTTGTCCCAAAGATGTACTACTTCTCATACAAAGGAATGAAAAGCAGGTGTGTTAAAGAAAACTGATATGCATGAAATGTAGACTACAGTGAAATGTAGAACTTTGAGATAAAAAGTTATTTCATCACAATTTGACACTTTTTTAAAATAAGATAAGGCATTTTTTGTTCTATTCCAGAATAATTCTTGCTGCTATGCATTATAATGAAAATGCTGGCAGACCACAGAAAGTGACGAAGGAATACACTCCTGTATCATTTATACCAAATATAAGAGTGGTGGGTATTGTCTGAGAAAGATACTGGTGGATGCAACTTATGGTAAGTTATGAAAAAAAATTCCAGGCAGCATTACATACTGAGTATAACCCATATGTCGTCCAAATATTTATCATCCCAATATGGTTTTTTTTTTTTGTTTTTGTTTGACAGAATGACTGTCTGTCAGAGGTGATGAAACTGACTGCCATTCAAAATAACTACAGAACTGGTGATGTGTGTGTCGACCCGCAATTTTTGACAGCAGCACTGAACAGACCAGACCGGACAAGTCAACCGTTACTGCCGAGCACCAGACTCGATTCCTCAGGAAATAAAAAAAATTACATTCCCTGTCTTCAGTTGTCCTCATTTGTTTATTTTTATTACAGTATTTTGTTATGATTGACACCAT